GTTTTTTACTTTAAGCATTTAAGTTAATTTGAAGCACAGTATTGTCAAACATTAAGTATTTAAGTTAAAATAAACACAACGCGAGGAGAATTATCACGGTAACAGCGCCAATTCGGTCCGGCTTACTTCAGGAAAATAATCAACTTTTTGAACGCTCAAAAAGTTGGCCCGTGGCGTCAGAGGCGATCAAGAAGCTGATTATGTGACGCCACTGCCAGAGCGTCTCATGAGCTTCCACGTTATCCAGCAGCCTGTCCCGTAGCTCAGTTGGTAGAGCATTGAACTCCCGGTAGTGAGAGCCCGGGTTCGAGACGCTCCGGCGCTCGATATTTGAGACTCCTGACGGGGATGGTCTGCGGTTGGTGGGAGCAGCCGCAGCCAGTTGAAGTCAGTTGAGTGGGACAGGCCGTGTCCGGCTTTGAAGGGCACGTTAAACTTTGGCATCTAAATTCTCCCGCTACCCGGAATTGCGCGATCGGACGGTAGGGGTCGGGGCCTACGCAACAAGCTCTGCTTAGCGTGGGTTCCGGCTCTGTCAATCCGTCCATTCAAAACATTCGAGCTAAATTTATAAAAAAAAGTTATGGATTACAATTTGGTATGTACACATTTTACCAAAACAACACTGAAATTGCCTGAAACAACAGTCTTATCCACTGTCCAGTGAGCCAACACTCACCTCAAAACTAGCCAAATGTACCCTGATGACGCTATTGACATTGCCAATAGGTTATTGGTGCTAAGTAGTGGGTACAACGATTTAACCAGGGCCTCACTGGGGGGGGGGGGGTATTCACAACGCCCATGACTTCGAAACTACTGGGCCGATTGTCAAAATTCAAACGGCATATGAAAGTCCTGGAATAACTGTCCAGCGAAACCTATTTTAATTTACCTATAAGTCACCGATGACGTCACTGGTCAGGTCAAAGTAAAAATTATCAACGTTTTGGTTTGTTCACAATTTGGGCTGTGGCCGCGCCGGCTACAAGTCAGATTGGACTCATTTTTGGTTTACACACTCGTGAATAGATGCTTAGATACCCGGAGGATACCGAACTTGTATTCTGATTGTTTTTTTCAGATCAAGGCTAGGTCATACTAGGTCACGGAAACTTTTATCACGCATCGGCCACGTGAGACATGTTTTATGATCCATTTTCATTGCTTACAAAATCAGTGTTGTCTGTGTAATTTGGGACCATTTTCAGCTAAATAAAACTGAGGTCTGGTCACTTCACGTAAAAAGATCAAATTTTGAGGTTGAGATTGTCACAAAAAGGTGCATCAGATGCAGTTTGAACTCTGGAAAACGATGGTGTTATTCATTTTGGTGTGGTGTACGATGTCAAAAACGTACTGAAAAATGATTCTCAGGTGTTGTTTTTATCCGCTGGAGCATTGGAGCGCTAATCCAAAGGTCCGGGGTTCGAATCCCCGTACAGCCCAAATCTTTAACGAGTTTGCAAAAGATGACTGACGTCATCACTGTCAACCGTGGAAGCCGTATGGCTACCCATCTACGCTGGAGTACGAAAAACATCATCTCACGTACTGAAAAATGGATTTGCAATCTTGATTACGGTGCAATGTTGACTACAAAGCAAATAACTTTGCTATTTTGGAAGATATCGGGCTACAACTTCCTAGAGTAGACCATCGGTACGTGTTATACAGGGTGTTCCAAAAAAAAGTGAGCCCCCTAACTTATATTGCTTTTATCTCCGAAACCGTATGTCCTACGATAATGAGAGACTCCTTGTTGGAAAGGACGGTCAATTTCGGTTCTAGTAGGCTACCTAGTGTGGTTCTGAATGATCACGTATTACACCGAGAACGACCAGAACAAAATGTGTTGCGAGATCGAGTGAAACTTGGCGACGGCGGTATGCCCCCTAACTATTATTGCTTTTATCTCCAAAACCGTATGGCCTACGATAATGAAAGACCCCTTGTTGGAAAGAACGGTCAATTTCGGTTCTAGTAGGCTACCTAGTGTGGCTCTGAATGATTACGTATTACACCGAGAACGACCAGAACAAAATGTGTTGCGAGATCGGGTGAAACACGGCGACGGCGGTAAACGTGTATTGCTGACGGCAACGCACGACCGATATTGGAGTGGTCAAAATACTGGTTGAACTAGGTCATCCATTCAGTCTTCATTTTTTATGATAAAAGTTCACGCGCGAAGAATGAATAAAAGCACGTGAACTGAAATATGCAGTCAGATGTGAAGAAATTTTAACCATATCCGTTACCGCTAAATATTTCACTAAGAATTTGGTATTGAATTGTGCTTTTCACAATGCTGGTCGTGTTGTGCAAGCTATGTAACAGAATTACGACCTATCTGGATGGAATTCGATTGCTCTTTCTAATGAGCGGCTTTCCAAAGCTGTAGGATACACGGTTGCGGAGATACAGTCGATCTTAGTTAGGGGGCTCACTTTTTTTTAGAACACCCTGTATCACATATCGACACCTTTTTTAAATCCCACATTTGTTCTCCCGTGAAGTTCAGACAAGTTGTTTAGAAACCTTCAAAAAAGGTACAGTCACTCGATTTTTCTCAAGTTTGTCTGTCTTGGCAGATCAAGCAACGTCAGAGCAAGCTTACGAACACACAAATTTGATCAGGATCGGACGATTGGACACTTCTAAAAAGAGATCTTTCGTGCTTCCCGGAAATTCACCGGAGAACAGATGTGGGGTTTAAAAAAAGGTGTCGATATGGGGTACGATAGATCGACCAAAGCCGTACACCCTCATATTTTATTTTTTGCTTAACCCTCGCCCGTAAACGGCGATCTGCCACCTTCGCCCATGCAGGGGGGGGGGTTGGTGCGACCCCCCCCCCTTGGCGTTTGAAAACGGAGCGTCGTAGAGCTTAGCGGAAAAGACCAACGGATTGCTCTCGCCGAGATCTCGCGATTGGTGGTATATTTTTTGGTCCTAGGTCAACATTTGACCTACTTTTGACCGGTCAAAGGTCAAATTTTCGGAAAAATAGACTTTTTTCAACTTTCCGCGGCGATTGCGGCAAAACGGTGGGAGATATCGACTTGAAACCCTCACTATCGTGTTCCTTGATCAATTCTCTATCGTTTGGTATGTATTTCGTTTCCCTAGCTCTAAAAATGGCGCGTAGGGGACCGCCGGAAGTCGGCAAGGTCACAGTCGGCGGCAGAAATTCGAAAAATCAAAATTTAAATTTTTGAAATCTGATTGTATTTTTGGATTTGGGAGGTCCATTTGCTCCCTATAGAAGCTAATATTGCTGCATATTCCCATTGAGGTGACAAGAATTAGCAAAATAGTGGTTCGGGCGCTTTTCAAAAATAGTACCGGACGCTGTTCCTCTTGTGACGTCATAGCTCCGTGACCTGACCTGACCCGGTCAAGTTTCTTATACCATATGATAGCCAATACTTGCCCCAACATGCATGGGAAGTTTCATCACGATCCATCAACCGATGTCCGTACCACCGGCAGGAAACCTCGGGCGTTGGCACTCAGTTTGTGAAAATCCGGCCGGAGGCTGTTCCCTTTGTGACGTCATAGCTCCGTGACCTGACATGACCCGGTCAATTTTTTTTTATCAAAAGATGCGCAAGGTTTGCCCCATAAGGTACCCAAAATTTGGCGGCGCTGCGCGCCGCCGTTTTTGCACTATTTCCGAAAAGCCTCAGGGGGGGGGGGGGGGGTGCACCAACCCCCCCCTACATGGGCGACGGTTAAAATTCGTCGAATGGGTTGTGATGGGCGGGGAAGCCAGCTGTGGCAAGGATTTTTTTCTTTGAACAACGGTTTCCGAGATAAAGCCTCGGACAATTCCTGGAGGTCGCGCTGCAACCCTATATTTGGCGGCTCATAACTCAGAAACTATTTGTTTTCTATGATAAAAACTTTATATGGTTCAACTCGCAATCAACCGACAAACATTTTGGCTATCTCGGATTTTCAATTAAAAATGACCTGACCTGAGGTCAACGCAGGTCGAAAGCTACTTTTTTATTCTCGCAATAGAATAACAATTGATAAGGCTTTATTCTTTATCAGACAAAATTGCAACTTTCAGTGGGGACAATATCAAGGTCACTCTTAAAAAATAGGTCAAAAGGTCACGTGATCAAAATTTTTGAAAATTGAAAATCCGAGATAGCCAAAATGTTCGTCGGTCAATTGCGAGTTGAAGCATGTTAAGTTTTTATCATAGAAAACAAATAATTTCTGAGTTATGAGCCGCCAAACATAGGGTTGCAGCGTGACCTGCAGGAATTGCCCGAGGCTATATCTCGGAAACCGTTGTTCGAAGAAAAAAATCCTTGCCACAGCTGGCATCCCCAACCATCACAACCCCTTTGACCAATTTTAAACGAAAAATATAATATGTGGGTGTCATTTTTTTTTTTTTGGTCGACCTATCGTGGAATGCCCCATTTATTCCGTTTTTCGAAAAGTTAAAAACGTATAGGAAAGAATTACACAAACATAAGTTGAGTTTATTCTTACATATGTATAATTTTTAATTTCTGAAATGTTGAAAATCTGAGGTACCAGTTTGGTAGCCATGTGTAGGTATTTTGAGTCCCCTCAAGCAAAAAAAAAAAATCGTATCAAGCTTAAGAACTTAAGCTCTTGAAAGCGATTCCCACAGTTCAATGTTTTGCACCCAAATCGGCCGTATGTACATCACGTCACTCTGGCGTCATTTCCGGCCGACCTATGGTAGGAACGAAATTCTTGTTTGGACACAAGGTTTAAAATTGATGCAGTCGACGGTACTGAAAATTTCGTTTCGATACGTCTCTAGCGGTTTAGAAGATATTGCAGAAAACGGGAGGGAGGGGAGCCGTACAAAAATACCAAATATTTGCACTTTAGTGGCCAGGCAAACCTTGGTCCTTGATCTTATTTCATGTGTGCGTGCGCGTGCCGCGTGCGTGCGTGCGTGTGTGTGTGTGTGGGGGGGGGGGGGGCGGGGGCACCCTCCTTACCCTCCTCCTCGGCGTTTTTCAGCCAGTCGACAAAGGCCTTCATCTGCTCCAGGAACACTGTCTTGCCCTTGGCCTTGCCCTCCTGGGTGTCCTTGTACCAGCGCAGAATCACCTCTTCGTGCAGCACGTCCGCTGAAGGCAACACGGAATGAGGCGATAGTGATACAACACGGCACACGGTCCGACACACAAGGTCTGAGACAGGGCCATGCATAAGGTCGGAGACAGGGCGACACGGGATCTGCGGGAAATACAACGTAGTACAGTGGCCAATCAGCCGCCAACTAAGCCAGCCCGTACGCACAAGCGTAACTTAACACCTCCCATTGACCAATGACCTTCGCTGGGTTGCGGAGTGTTCTCCTCAGGAGAGGTTCTGCTTTGTAAACTTCCAAAACCTGTCCATCGTGCGGTTTTATCGGGATTTCGTGTCTAAAAGAAAGCTATTTGCTCCAGACCTGCCTCTTGAAACTTCGTAAGATAAAACTTTACATTAATTGACACTTTTGGAGGGTCAGTTGTCCTTGGCATTGACGATTTTCGCGTTATTTTCCCCCAAAATTTACCGCTATAGATATTATAAACAACTAGAGGGATAGCATTACGCGCAGCGTAATAAATCAAGTTTCAATAAAATCGGCCCAGTAGCGGCCGAGTTATTGCCAGAATAAATTTGGTGACTCCTCCTGGCCGGCGGTGCTCTGTTCCGGTATTCATTGCCAAAGGTCAACGACCTGCCGGCTCTGATTTCGCTCAGTTTTGCAAGCGAAGAAAGTGAGGCTAATGCGCGTGCTCTCTGATCGGCGCCGGCCGCGGCCAAAATCCCGCAAAGATACGCCCGCCACGTGCAAACCGGCGAGCGCACCCCCCACCAAAATTTAATACGACAAACAGATGCATGCGTCCGACTCAGCGCCAAAATTTCACCCCTGCAGCCCGCACCGTCGCCTCGCAACAGCCCGCCAAGCGTGACGGACGCGTTTCATACAGACATTTTGATTTTTATATATGTAACTAGAGGGACAGCATTACGCGCAGCGTAATAAATCAATTTTCATTCAAATCGGCCCAGTAGCGGCCGAGTTTTTGCCAGAATAAAGTTGGTGACTCCTCTTGGCCGGCGGTGCCCTGTTCTGGTGTTCATTGCCAAAGGTCAATGACCTGCCGGCTCTGATTTCGCTCAGTTTTGCAAGCGAAGAAACTGAGCCTAAGGCACGTGCTCACTGCTCGGCGCCGGCCGCGGCCCAAAATGCTGCAAAGATGCGCCCGCCACGTGCACACTGCTGCACCCACCCCCTCGAAAAGTTGATACGACAAACGCACGCGTCCGACTTACGTCGAAAATTTCACCCCCGTAGCCCGCACCGTTCCGGAGCAATAGCCCGCCAAGCGTGACTGACGCGTCACATAGTAAATACATACATACATACATACATACATGCATACGGACGTTTTGATTTTTATAAGAGGAACTAGAGGGACAGCATTACGCGCAGCTTAAAGAGGGACAGCATTACGCGCAGCGTAATAAACCAAGTTTCATTAAAATCGGCCCAGTAGCGGCCGAGTTAAGGCCAGAATAAATTTGGCGACTCCTCTTGGCCGGCGGTGCCCTGCGCCGGTGTTCATTGCCAAAGGTCAGTGACCTGCCGGCTCTGATTTCGCTCCGTTTTGCAAGCCAAGAAACTGAGCCTAAGGCGCGTGCTCTCTGCTCGGCGCCGGCCGCGGCCAAAATCCCGCAAAGATGCCCCCGCAACGTGCAAACCACCGAACCCACCCCCACCAAAATTTAATACGACAAACAGATGCACGCGTCCGACTTGCGTCGAAAATTTCACCCCCGTAGCCCGCACCGTTCCGGAGCAATAGCCCACCAAGCGTGACTGACGCGTTACATACATACGTACAAACATTTTGATTTTTATATATGTAAACTAGAGGGACAGCATTACGCGCAGCGTAATAAGTCAATTTTCAATAAAATCGGCCCAGTAGCGGCCGAGTTATGGCCAGAATAAATTTGGCGTCTCCTCCTGGCCGGCGGTGCTCTGTTCCGGTATTCATTGCCAAAGGTCAGTGACCTTCCGGCTCTGATTTCACCCAGTTTTGCAAGCGAAGAAACTGAGCCTAAGGCGCGTGCCGTCTGATCGACGCCGGCCGCGGCCAAAATTCCGCAAAGATGCGCCCGCCACGTGCAAACCGGCGAGCGCACCCCCAACAAAATTTAATACGACAAACAGATGCACGCGTCTCACTTGCCCCCAAAATTTCACCCCCGTAGCCCACACCGTTCCGGAGCAATAGCCCGCCAAGCGTGACTGACGCGTTACATACGTACAAACATTTTGATTTTTACATATGTAACTAGAGGGACAGCATTACGCGCAGCGTAATAAATCAATTTTCAATAAAATCGGCCCAGCAGCGGCCAAGTTATGGCCAGAATAAATTTGGCGTCTCCTCCTGGCCGGCGGTGCTCTGTTCCGGTATTCATTGCCAAAGGTCAGTGACCTGCCGGCTCTGATTTCGCTCAGTTTGGCAAGCGAAGAAACTGAGCCTAAAGGTCAAGTTACACGGGACACTTTTTCGGTTTTTGATTTTTCGGTTTTTCGCTTTTTCGGTTCGTTTTATCGCTTTTTCGCGTCGGTTTTTCGCTTTTTCGATTTATCGCTTCGTGATTTGAGTTTTTCGAGTTTCGTTGATTTTTGTTTAGTTGAAACGCGCTGTGCAACCGCCAGCTCTTTTTATTTTGTTTGCAACCAGTGCAATGCTTTGGTCGCAGTTTTGCCTAGGGGCTTTAGGGGTCTGTTTTGTTGTCTGTTTTAACAGATGGAAATTACTTAAACTATTGTTTGTTTGTTTATTGGGGCTTAAGGGCGCGCCGACTACAAGGTCATTTTGCGCCCATAACTAAATTACTTAAACTAGATCTCGTCTGTTTTGTAGTAGGAAACTGGCTTGACTTAACTTCCAGCAGCTCAGCTACTATAAACCGGCGCCCCGCTGGGACTCCTGGATTTCCACGCCCTGCTGGTAGGGGGAACACCCCTTCTAACTTGGCCTAACTGAGCCACGTAGCGACACGCCGTAGGTGACACTTGAAAGAGCTAAAAAAATAAGGAACTAATTGCTTCGGCCATTTTTAGGTCAGGTGTAGGCCAAAGGGCAGGTCACCAAAGGTTATCGAAGGTAAAATGTCGCCAATATCTATAGGTCAAACTTCGACAATTTTCGACAAATCGGTCCATGGCTCAGGAATGGATAGAGCTATAGCGCCGCGGAGAGGCGCAATCAAACGTTCTTTTAACGTTCTTTCGCTAGCATGTCCTCAGATTTGACGTAAGGCCCACCGTCTATCCTGCAGGGGCATAAACGTCCAAAATATACGATTTTGCAAGAACAGTTTGTCCGCAATAACTTTTGACTCTAAACTTGCACGAGCTTTCCTTCACCAAAAACGTGTTTCTCTGGTCGAGACGCATCGAATGAACCTTAAGCTAACTGGACTGGTCTAGTAGAGTTGCAAAGTTTTCCCAATGGGCTGCTACCGGCACCGCCCCGCCCCACAAAAATTTTCTGGGATACCGGCATGCTACCACGCCCCAAGCAAAAAAACCGCCAAACTACCGGCATACCAAAAAACCTGCATTCTTGATTCTGGCTTACCCCTACATGAGATGCCACATTTTGGCAATTTCAGTACCTGCCCCACCCAGCAGCCACCCATTGTTCAACCAAAACTACCAGCAGCCTGATGTTGGCCGAGCTCGCCCCACAAACACCACAATTTTGAAACTCAATTCCAGTCTACAGCTGTTAAAATATCACCTGTAATCAAAAAGGTATTGCCTACAAAAAGCATTAACACATTCATCAAAATAGCAAGGACAAAAAGAACTTGAATTACTGAAATGTGTTTCTGAAGATTGCACAGTGAGCAGCAATCACATTTACCACAAGCGTTCTTAATTTTTATTTTCCACATTCTCCTAAAATGTTGCAGGTACCAACCAAATAATGAACTATAGATAGTCACAAATCACAATATAAAAAACTACAGATTCGGCGATGTTCCTAACTGAGGAAGCGAGATCAACATCAGCTTTTTCCTATCCGCCAAGGCCATCCTATCCGCCATGGCTTGCTGGCTCGTGAGTAAGATACGAATCATGTAAAAATATGTGTTAATAACTCACTTGTCCTGAGAAGTCACCAAATAATATGTATAAAAACGATATAATATCCTCCCCCATCTCAAACGCGGGAACAAACACAAGGTTATAAAGGATTTCGAAACAGATGCGCCATAACAGTTTTTAACCAGCTGATTAAAACACTGCAAAAAAAGGTTTTAGGACTGCAAACTTCTGCCTCGTGAATGATTTTATTGATAAAAATCATCCAACACGATATTGAATTCCAATGAAATCAACACTGTGAGTGTTATTCACTACAAGAAAATTGATTTCTCTTGAGTGATTCAACCAAAAGGGCATATGAATAAATATTACGTCATCAGCTTACATCCTTTCATTAGGGGGACAGAGGATCTTAAAAGTCAATCCTTGGTTGCCATTGCGCCACATTGCGCCACTTTGCATCAGAGGTGGAACTTTTTGTTTTTCATTGGGGTTGTAGTTTACCGGATCCCAGGGTATACCCCCACCAAAACCCGAAAAGTCCCCGGATTCGGCCCACTATTTTTCGGGAGGGGCCCACATTTTCATTTTTAAAAAAAGTGGTCCATCATCAGGGAGAGACGGCTGACCCTGTCGTCCCTCCATTGGCTATGTGCCTGGTTGTAGGTACTCGGGTATCGCCACCATGGTCGTGGCCATAGGCGGCGGAACGGGGAGGGCACCGGGGCACCTCGCCCCCTTTGATTTTGGCATTTTAACATTAGCCCTACCTATGGGCGTTGCATGGAAAGAATGGGACCAAAAGTCGGCAGTGCCCCCTTTAACCCGCGCCCTGCTGGGGGGGGGTGTTTGAACACCCCCCCTTGTGGTTTTTTGCGAATATCTAAAAAACGGCGGCGCGGAGCGCCGCCGTTTTTGGTACACCTTATCATACATCAATTCTACACATGTTGTGAAAATTTCAGACCAAGGTCATTCAAGGTCAGGTCACCA